TCAATTTGATCTAATAATCCTTATTGTATCCCGATTCGTTCTCTAAAACAATTGGAAAACAGCCTATTAAATTCTTTTACTATCGATTACCCAAAAGAAAGAGTTTTCTTTTTCTTAGAATGGAAATGAAATCAAATGGAATGGAATTTTTTTTGAATTGGATGAAATGAAAATGAAATTCATAGTAAAAAAAAAATAATATGAATATCATGAAATTCAATAAATAAAAAAAATTCAATAAATAAAAAAAAAGAAATCGAATTAGATATTCAATTTCATTAATCTAACAAATATGGAAAAAATGCAGAAGCGTTCATATATTTTACATACGTTTGTATAGACGGTTTTTCTTCAATCCCTTCGCCAACTAAAAATGGAATTATATTCCCTGTCCTACCTATCCTTATCCAATCTAATTCAAGACCCAATCAGTAGACGGACACTACAGCAGTAGTAGAATGAAAAGACTTTCATTTCAAGATTGATCTATTCCTTTTCATTTCCCTACTCTAATTCATTTTTCCTTGAATCCGAGACGCAAAGATTTAAAGCATTTTAGAGAACAAATCTAGCGATGCGTAGAATTTTGAATCAAACAAGTCTCAAGAACTCTGTCCCTACACTTGCTTCCACATGGAAAAAATACTAAGTTTCTGTATCAACAAAATGGAAGAAACCCTTTTTGATTCTCTTGTCGATCAGGCGACACCCGGATTTGAACTGGGGAAAAAGGATTTGCAGTCCCCCGCCTTACCACTCGGCCATGCCGCCAAAATGATACAAAAAAATAGATCAGAATATCCTCCTCTCAAAAAAACCAACGTATACCTTTTCAGTCAAAAAAAAAAAGTAAAAATTTCGGGACAAATAGCAACTGTTAACTACAAATTCCGGAAGAATTCAGGAATCTGAATTTCTTAATGAGAAAAAAATCGAAATTGATACATAACAAATCAATATTATTATTATATATATTATTATATATATATATTTTTTTTATAATCTTTATCTATTTCCATTATAACAGGAACTGTTAATATATGTCAACCCCATAATATCACTTTTCATTGTTACACATTATATAATTGGGTATTTTCTATGTAATTATGGATTACAGGGAATTTTCAATAAATTCTCGTACTTTCATTTTTTTGCCAATTTTTCATGAAATAGATTGATGAATGAATAGAAAAAAAATGAACACAACATATTATGTCCCGAACAAATAGGACTGCAATAACGTAATAGACATATATAGATAGCTATAGCTGAAGTTAGATCTATGCATGTTTCATAAATCCAAGTCTTTTTATGCACTGCAATCCTCTCATTCTAAAAAAAAAAAAAGGGTCAAAATATCTCTCTTCTTTGTTAATTTTCATTCTTTTTTGAACACTTGAAATGGTAAAGGGCTCAAAAAAATTGTATATTTTTTCTGATTATTTTCTTTTTAAAATCTTTCTCTCATGGAGCCAATCAAATCCTGAATTTATTTTTGGGGTATCAATCGAATTGGAATATGTAATATCATACTCTACTAAAAGTCTATTTGTTTGTTTTGTTGCAAATTCTAATTTGAGTAGCAAAATTCCTCTTTTCATAATGCGTATTTCATAGACGTAGTGAGGTAAAATTTCATGTGATTCAGTAAAGTAAAAAGAACATAAATTCCATTATTGCTAAATATATTCATGTGATTCGATGAAGAATGACAGCAAATCATGGGATATTTTCTATAAAATAAAAAAGGGGTAATAAAAAATGCTTGGGGTTGGGAATGAAGGAATGTCTACACTACCGGGATTGAATCAAATACAATTTGAAGGGTTTTGTAGATTCATTGATCGGGGCTTAACAGAAGAACTTTTGAAGTTTCCAAAAATTGAAGATACAGATCAAGAAATTGAATTTCAGTTATTTGCGGAAACATATCAATTGGTAGAACCCTCAATAAAAGAAAAAGATGTTGTATATGAATCACTTACATATTCCTCTGAATTATATATATCCGCGGGAGTAATTTGGAAAAACAGTCAGGATATCCAAGAACAAATTATTTTTATTGGAAACATTCCTCTAATGAATTCCCTGGGAACTTTTATAGTAAATGGAATATACAGAATTGTAATCAATCAAATATTGCAAAGCCCCGGTATCTATTATCGGTCAGAATTGGACCATAACGGAATTTCAGTCTATACTGGCACAATAATATCAGATTGGGGAGGAAGATTAGAGTTAGAAATTGATAGAAAAGCAAGGATATGGGCTCGTGTAAGTAGGAAACAGAAAATATCTATTCTAGTTCTATCATCAGCTATGGGTTCGAATTTAAGTGAAATTCTTGAGAACGTTTGTTACCCCGAAATTTTCTTGTCTTTCCTCAATGAAAAGGAGGGAAAAAAAATAAGGTCAAAAGAAAATGCCATTTTGGAGTTTTATCGACAATTTGCTTGTGTAGGCGGAGATCCCATATTTCCTGAATCTTTATGTACGGAATTACAAAAAAAAATTTTTCAACAAAGATGTGAATTAGGAGGAATTGGGCGGCGAAATATGAACCGAAGGCTGAATATTGATATACCCGAGAACAATACATTTTTGTTACCGCGAGATATATTGACAGCTGCGGATCATTTGATTGGAATGAAATTTGGAATGGGTACACTTGACGATATGAATCATTTGAAAAATAAACGTATTCGTTCCGTAGCAGATCTCTTACAAGATCAATTTGGATTGGCTCTCGTTCGTTTAGAAAATCTAATTATAGGAACTATATGTGGAGCAATTAGATATAAATTGATACCGACTCCTCAGAATTTAGTGACTTCAACGCCATTAACAACCACTTATGAATCTTTTTTTGGATTACATCCATTATCTCAAGTTTTAGATCAAACCAATCCATTGACCCAAATAGTTCATGGAAGGAAATTGAGTTCTTTGGGTCCTGGAGGATTGACGGGGCGAACTGCTAGTTTTCGGATACGGGATATCCATCCTAGTCACTATGGACGCATTTGTCCAATTGACACCTCTGAAGGAATCAATGTCGGACTTATTGGATCCTTGGCAATTCACGCAAGGATTGGTCGTTGGGGGTCTATAGAAAGTCCATTTTATGAAATTTCTGAGAGATCAAAAAGAATACGAATGCTTTCTTTATCACCAAGTAGAGATGAATACTATATGGTAGCGACGGGAAATTTTTTAGCACTGAATCGAGGTATTCAGGAGGAGCAGATTGTTCCAGCTCGATACCGTCAAGAATTTCTTACTATTGCATGGGAACAGGTTCATCTTCGAAGTATTTTTCCCTTCCAATATTTTTCTATTGGAGCTTCCCTCATTCCTTTTATCGAGCATAATGATGCGAATAGAGCTTTAATGAGTTCTAATATGCAACGTCAAGCAGTTCCTCTTTCTCGGTCCGAAAAGTGCATTGTTGGAACTGGATTGGAACGCCAAGTGGCCTTAGATTCGGGAGTTCCCGCTATAGCCGAACACGAGGGAAAGATCGTTTATAATGATACTGAGAAGATTATTTTATTTGGAAGTGGGAATGGTCTAAGTATTCCATTAATTATATATCAACGTTCCAACAAAAATACTTGCATGCATCAAAAATCCCAGGTTCAGAAGGGTAAATGCGTAAAAAAGGGACAAATTTTAGCAGATGGTGCTGCTACAGTTGGTGGTGAACTCGCTTTGGGAAAAAACGTATTAGTAGCTTATATGCCATGGGAAGGTTACAATTCTGAAGATGCTGTACTCATTAGTGAGCGTCTGGTCTATGAAGATATTTATACTTCTTTTCACATACGGAAATATGAAATTCAGACTCATGTGACAAGCCATGGTCCTGAAAGAATCACTAATAAAATTCCACATCTAGAAGCGCATTTACTCCGAAATTTAGACAAAAATGGAATTGTAATTCTGGGATCTTGGGTAGAAACGGGCGATATTTTAGTGGGTAAATTAACGCCTCAAATGGCAAAAGAATCCTCATATGCCCCGGAAGATAGATTATTACGAGCTATACTTGGGATTCAGGTATCCACCTCAAAGGAAACTTGTCTAAAACTACCTATAGGTGGTAGGGGCCGAGTTATTGATGTGAGATGGCTCCACAAAAAAGCGGATTCTAGCTATAATCCAGAAACAATTCATATATATATTTCACAGAAACGTGAAATCAAAGTAGGTGATAAAGTGGCCGGGAGACATGGAAATAAAGGTATCGTTTCAAAGATTTTGTCTAGACAGGATATGCCTTATTTGCAAGATGGAAGACCCGTTGATATGGTCTTCAATCCATTAGGGGTCCCTTCTCGAATGAATGTAGGACAGATATTAGAATGTTCGCTCGGATTAGCTGGGAGTATGCTAAATAGACATTATCGAATAGCACCTTTTGATGAGAGATATGAACAAGAGGCTTCCAGAAAACTTGTGTTTTCTGAATTATATGAGGCCAGTAAAGAAACATCGAATCCATGGATATTTGAACCCGAGTATCCGGGAAAGAGCAGAATATTTGATGGAAGAACGGGGAATCCTTTTGAACAGCCCGTTATAATAGGAAAGCCTTATATCTTGAAATTAATTCATCAAGTTGATGATAAAATACATGGACGTTCCAGTGGACCTTATGCACTTGTTACACAACAACCCCTTAAAGGAAGGGCCAAACAAGGAGGACAACGGGTAGGCGAAATGGAAGTTTGGGCCCTCGAGGGATTCGGTGTTGCTCATATTTTACAAGAGATGCTTACTTATAAATCTGATCATATTAAAGCTCGTCAAGAAGTACTTGGAACTACAATTAGTGGAGGAACAATACCGAAACCTGTGGATGCTCCAGAATCTTTTCGATTGCTCGTTCGCGAACTACGATCTTTGGCTCTGGAACTGAATCATTTCCTTGTCTCTGAGAAAGACTTTCAGATTCAAAGGAAGGAAGTTTAATTGGACTGAATCCGAAATTTTATTTTATGATTGATCAGTATAAACATCAACACCTTCGAATTGGATCAGTTTCCTCTGAACAAATAAGTGCTTGGGCAAAAAAAATCCTACCTAATGGAGAAACAGTTGGGGAGGTAACAAAACCCTATACTCTTCATTATAAAACCAATAAGCCTGAAAAAGATGGATTATTTTGTGAAAGAATTTTTGGGCCTATAAAAAGTGGGATTTGTGCTTGTGGAAATTATCGAGTAATCGGAGATAAAAAAGACCAACCTCAATTTTGTGAACAATGCGGAGTAGAATTTGTTGATTCTCGGATACGTAGATATCAAATGGGGTATATCAAATTAGCATGTCCAGTAACCCATGTGTGGTATTTGAAACGTCTTCCTAGTTATATCGCGAGCCTTTTAGATAAACCTCTTAAAGAATTAGAGGGTCTAGTATACTGCGATGTGTGATTTGATAAAAATTCTTATTGTACAGATTTCGAATGAAAAACTGTCATTCCATTCAATTAAATTGGAATGTCCTATATCTGGCATGTCTCTTGGGATGAGTAACATGAAGCTCAGAATTCAATTCATGGGTGTATTGAATACTCCCAATAAGGGAGTTGGTCTATGGTCAATTCAGTAACAAAAAACTCTTTATACTGTATGTACCTTGTGAAAAAAAAAATACTTTTTTGTGGAATTCATTATTCCATCTCTTTTTTTTTTTTATTTTAAAAGAACTAAAATTATGTTCAAAGAATAAAATATATCATGATTGCAGAAGTTTATCTATCGCATATAGGCTTTAAGACATCGTGGCATACCCGTCGAGGTGACGTCTTGACCTAAAAGATCAAACGGTATGATACAGAGACAAAGAAATCTCTTATGAAGTCGAAGATATTCCTTTTTTATTAAGAATTTCATTTTAGAGGATTCCTCGTTCGAAGGGAGGTAGACTACTCAAGAATTTTACATTTTATTTCTGTCGGAATTTCGAATTGCATAAAAAATTCAGAAAAACCGAAGAATGTATCAATGAAATGTTGCTTGGTCTTTATTGATAACTTGAGTCAAGAGTAAACCTTTTTTATTTTATATTTTAGATTAGAGGTTTTCAAAAATATGAAAGCGGAAACCCCTTTCTTTATCTTTAATTGTGTGTAAATACTTTAGCCGGATGAGAGGAAACCCTCATGTCCGATTTTCAAAGGGGGAGATCCATCTTATTGGATCCTATCCAAATTTTTCTTTTGCTAGGCCCGTAGTTAAAAAACCAACTTTCTTACGATTACGAGGTTCATTCGACTATGAAATCCAATCCTGGAGATACAGTCTCCCACTCTTTTTTGCTACTCAAGGTTTGGATACATTTCGAAATAGAGAAATTTCTAGTGGAGCGAGTGCTATACGAGAACAATTAGTTGATCTGGATTTAAGAATGATTATGGATTCTTCGTTGCTAGAATGGACAGAATTAGGAGAAGAGGGGTCCACTGACAATGAAAATGAATGGGAAGATCAAAAAGTTGGAAGAAGAAAGAATTTTTTGGTTCGACGCATGGAATTAGCTAAGCATTTTATCCGAACAAATATAGAACCAGAATGGATGGTATTATGTCTCTTACCAGTGCTTCCTCCCGAATTGAGACCAATTATTCAAATAGATGGCGGTAAACTAATGAGTTCGGATATTAATGAACTCTATAGAAGAGTTATCTATCGGAACAATACTCTTATTGATCTATTAACAACAAGTAGATCTACACCAGAGGAATTAGTAATGTGTCAAGAAAAATTGGTACAAGAAGCCGTGGATACACTTCTTGATAATGGAATCCGCGGACAACCAATGAGGGACGGTAATAATAAAGTTTACAAATCGTTTTCCGATATAATTGAGGGCAAAGAGGGAAGATTTCGAGAGACTCTTCTTGGAAAACGAGTTGATTATTCGGGGCGTTCTGTTATTGTCGTAGGTCCATCACTTTCATTACATCGATGTGGATTGCCCCGCGAAATAGCAATAGAGCTATTTCAGACGTTTCTAATTCGTGGTTTAATTCAAAACCATTTTGCTTCGAACATAGGAGTTGCTAAGAGGAAAATCCGGGAAAAAGAACCCATTGTATGGGAAATACTTCAAGAAGTTATGCGGGGGCATCCAGTATTGCTGAATAGAGCGCCTACTTTGCATAGATTGGGCATACAGGCATTTCAACCCATTTTAGTCGAAGGACGTGCTATTTGTTTACATCCATTGGTGTGTAAGGGATTCAATGCAGACTTTGATGGGGATCAAATGGCTGTTCATGTGCCTTTATCTTTGGAGGCTCAAGCAGAAGCTCGTTTACTTATGTTTTCTCATACGAATCTCTTGTCTCCGGCTATTGGGGATCCCATTTGTGTACCAACTCAAGATATGCTTATTGGACTTTACGTATTAACTAGCGGAAATCGTCGAGGTATTTGTGCAAACAGGTATAATTCGTTTAATTCCCGAAATTCTCACAATGAAAAAATTAGCAATAATAACTTGAAGAATATGAAAAAAAAAGAACCCTTTTTTTGCAATTCCTATGATGCAATTGGAGCTTATAGACAGAAAAGAATAAATTTCGATAGTCCTTTTTGGCTCCGGTGGCGAATAGATCAATGCATTATGTCTTCAAGAGAAGTTCCTATCGAAGTTCACTATGAATCTTTTGGTACCTATTATGAGATTTATGGGGATTATTTAGTAATAAGAAGTATAAAAAAAGAAATTCGTTGTATATACATTCGAACCACTATTGGTCATATTTCTTTTTATCGAGAAATCGAAGAAGCTATACAAGGTTTTTCTCGAGCCGATTCATATGGTATCTAATCATATAAATGGTTAGTGTTGGTATCCACGCTAAGTCAATTTATGATACTGGTGTAAATTCAGGTCAACTAGCATCTTTTCAATTTTCTACGTGAATAAACATAAAGAAAAGGAAGTTTTCCAATCATTAACTCAAATCCATTGTCGAACCGAATAACACTGAGTGGAATATGGAGGTACTTATGGCAGAACGGGCCGATCTAGTCTTTCACAATAACGTGATAGGTGGAACTGCCATTAAACGACTTATTAGCAGATTAATAGATCATTTCGGAATGGCATATACATCACACATCCTAGATCAAGTAAAGACTCTAGGATTCCATCAAGCTACTGCTACATCTATTTCATTAGGAATTGATGATCTTTTAACAATACCTTCAAAAGGATGGCTAGTCCAAGATGCTGAACAACAAAGTTCCATTTTGGAAAAACATAATCATTATGGAAATGTCCATGCGGTAGAAAAATTACGCCAATCCATTGAAATATGGTATGCTACAAGCGAATATTTGCGACAACAAATGAATTCCAATTTTAGGATGACTGACCCCTTTAATCCAGTCCATATCATGTCTTTTTCAGGAGCTAGAGGAAATGCATCTCAAGTGCACCAATTAGTCGGAATGAGAGGATTAATGTCAGATCCACAAGGACAAATGATTGATTTACCCATTCAAAGCAATTTACGTGAAGGACTGTCTTTAACAGAATATATAATTTCTTGCTACGGAGCCCGTAAAGGGGTTGTAGATACTGCTGTACGAACATCAGATGCTGGATATCTTACACGTCGACTTGTTGAAGTGGTTCAACACATTGTTGTACGGCGAACAGATTGCGGTACCATCCGTGGGATTTATGTAAACACCCGAAATGGAATGATGCCAGAAAGAATTTTGATACAAACATTAATTGGTCGTGTAGTAGCAGACGATATATATATAGGTTCACGGTGCATTGTCGTTAGAAATCAAGATATTGGAATTGGACTTATCAATCGATTCATAACTTTTCAAACACAACCAATATTTATTCGAACCCCCTTTACCTGTAGGAATACGTCTTGGATCTGCCGATTGTGTTATGGGCGGAGTCCTATTCATGGGGACCTGGTAGAATTGGGAGAAGCTGTAGGGATTATTGCTGGTCAATCTATTGGAGAACCGGGAACTCAACTAACATTAAGAACTTTTCATACTGGTGGAGTATTCACAGGGGGTACTGCTGAATATGTGCGAGCCCCCTCGAATGGAAAAATAAAATTTAATGAGGATTTAGTTCACCCTACACGGACACGTCATGGATATCCTGCTTTTATATGTAATATAGACTTCTATGTAACTATTGAAAGTGACGATATTATACATAACGTCATTATTCCACCAAAAAGTTTTCTATTAGTTCAAAATAATCAATATGTAAAATCAGAACAAGTGATTGCGGAGATCCGCGCGGGAACATCTACTTTAAATTTGAAAGAGAGGGTTCAAAAACATATTTATTCTGACTCAGAAGGGGAAATGCATTGGAGTACCGATGTGTACCATACATCACAATTTATATATAGTAATGTACATATCTTACCAAAAACAAGTCATTTATGGATATTGTCAGGAAAGTCGTGCAGGTCTAATACAATCCATTTTTTACTTCGCAAGGATCAAGATCAAGTTACCATGGATTCACTTTCTAATGGAAAAACAAATATTTCGAATCTTTTAGAAAGGAATGATCAAGTAAAACATAAATTCAATACTTTTGGTACAAAAGAAAAGTGGATTAGCGATTCTTCAATATTGAATCAAATCATATGTACAGATCATTCTGATTTAATGTATCCTGCTATTTTGAACGATACTTTTTATTTCTTGGCGAAAAGGCGAAGAAATAGATTTCTTATTCCATTTCCATTCCAATCGATTCAAGAACGAAAGAACGAACTAATGTCCCCTTCCGGTGTCTCCATTGAAATACCTATCAATGGTATTTTTCATGAAAATAGTATTTTTGCTTATTTCAATGATCCTCAATACATAAGACAGAGTTCAGGAATTACTAAATATACAACTATAGGAATTCATTCTATTTTTCAAAAAGAAGATTTCAGTGAGTATCAAGGAATCGAAGAAGTAAAGCCAAAATACCAAATTCAAGTAGATAAAATTTTTTTTATTCCCGAAGAAGTGCATATTTTACCCGAATCTTCTTCCCTAATGGTACGGAATAATAGTCTTGTTGGAATAGGAACACCAATCACTTTCAATATAAGAAGTCGAGTAGGCGGATTGGTCCGATTAGAAAAGAAAAAAAAAATAGAATTAAAAATATTTTCTGGAAATATCCATTTTCCCGGAGAGATGGATAAGATATCCCGACACAGTGCCATCTTGAGACCGCCCGGAACGGTAAAAAAAAAAATGCAAGGAATCAAAAAAATTTAAAAATTGGATTTATGTCCAATGGATCGCAACTACCAAGAAAAAGTATTTTGTTTTGGTTCGACCTGTAATTTTATATGAAATACCGGACAGTATCAATTTTGTAAAACTTTTTCCCCAAGATCTATTCCAGGAAAAGGATAATCTGGAACTAAAAGTTGTCAATTATATTCTTTATGGAAATGGAAAATCCATTCGGGGAATTTCCGACACAAGGATTCAATTAGTTCGGACTTGTTTAGTCTTCAATTGGGATCACGGGAAAAAAAGTTCTTCTATTGAGGAGGCCCCCGCTTCCTTTATTGAAGTAAGTACAAATGGTTTGATTGAGTATTTTCTAAGAATTGACTTAGTCAAATCTAATACTTCATATATTAGAAAAAGAAATGACCCGTCTGGTTTAGGATTGATCAGGGATAATCAATCGGATCGAATCAATCCCTTTTTTTCTATTCATTCCAAGGGAAAAATTCAACAATCACTTAGCCAAAATCACGGAACTATTCGTATGTTGTTGAATAAAAAGAAAGAATGCCGATCTTGGATAATTTTGTCATCATCTAATTGTTTTCAAATGAGACCATTCAACAATGTAAAATATCACAATGGAATAAAAAAAGATCCTATAATTTCAATTAATAATAATAATTCGTTCGGCCCTTTAGGAATAGCCCTTCAAGTTGCGAATTTTTATTCACTTTATCGTTTAATAACTCATAATAAGATCTCAATCATTAAAAATTTGCAACTTGACAAATTCACTGAAATTTTTCAAGTAATTAAATATTATTTAATGGACGAAAATGAGAAAATTTTTAAACCCGATCTATACAGTAATATTGTTTTGAATCCATTCCATTTGAATTGGTTTTTTCTCCATCATTTTTATTGTGAAAAAACGTTTACAATAATAAGTCTTGGACAATTGATTTGTGAAAATATATGTATAGCTAAAATGAAAAATGGACCACACCTAAAACTAAAATCGGGTCAAGTTATAACAGTTCAAATGGATTCTGTAATAATAAGATTGGCTAATCCTTATTTGGCGACTCCAGAAGCAACCATTCACGGCCATTATGGGGAGATCCTTTCTCAAGGAGATATTTTAGTTACATTCATATATGAAAAATCGAGATCCGGTGATATAACACAAGGTCTTCCAAAAGTGGAACAGATATTAGAAATACGTTCGATTGATTCAATATCCATGAATCTAGAAAAAAGAATTGATGCTTGGAACGAGTGTATAACAAAAATTCTCGGCATGCCTTGGGGATTCTTGATTGGTGCTGAGCTAACTATAGCGCAAAGTCGTATTTCTTTGGTTAATAAAATCCAAAAGGTTTATCGATCCCAGGGAGTACATATCCATAATAGACATATCGAGATTATTGTGCGTCAAATAACATCCAAAGTCTTGGTTTCAGAAGATGGAATGTCTAATGTATTTTTACCTGGCGAACTAATTGGATTATTGCGAGCAGAACGAATGGGGCGTGCCTTGGAAGAACCCATTTGTTACCGAGCTTTATTATTGGGAATAACAAAAACATCTCTGAATACTCAAAGTTTCATATCTGAAGCGAGTTTTCAAGAAACTGCTAGAGTTTTAGCAAAAGACGCTCTTCGGGGTCGTATTGATTGGTTGAAAGGTCTTAAAGAGAATGTTGTTTTAGGGGGGATGATACCCGTTGGTACCGGATTCAAAAGAATAATGCACCGTTCACGGTCAAGGCAACATAACAAGATTACCCGGAAAAAAAAATTATTCGAAGTAGAAATTAGAAATCTTTTGTTCCATCACAGAAAATTCTTTGATTTTTATCATTTCAAAGAATTTATGTGATACATTATTAGAAATATAGGATTAAATGGTTCCTAAAAGCGGATTCGACTCAGCCCCTTAAAATCTTTAAATGCAGTCATTTGATTTGGTAATAAAGTAGAATAAAAAATAATAATAAATAGAAATAAAAGAATGGCCTGATTCTATCTTAACGGCCAATCGTCTATAAAAGAGAAGGTTCCATCGGAACAATTATTTATTGCTATTTCAGGATACTGGGTCTCTCTTTATTTTTTTTCAATTTTTTTTTTTAAAAAAAGTGTGGGGATAAATGACAAAAAGATATTGGAACATCACTTTTGAAGAGATGATGGAAGCTGGGGTTCATTTTGGCCATGAGCCTAGGAACTGGAATCCTCGAATGGCACCTTTTATATCGGGAAAACGTAAAGGTATTCATATTACAAATCTTACTAAAACTGCTCGTTTTTTATCAGAAGCTTGTGATTTGGCTTTTGATGCAGCAAGCACAGGAAAACAATTTTTAATTGTTGGTACAAAAAAAAAAGCAGCCGATTCAGTAACACGGGCTGCAATAAGAGCTCGATGTCATTATGTTAATAAAAAATGGCTCAGAGGTATGTTAACGAATTGGTATACTACAGAAACGAGACTTCGTGAGTTCAGGGACTTGAGAACGGAGCAAAAGACGGGGAAACTGAACTCTCTTCCAAAAAGAGATGCCACTATGTTGAAGAGACAATTATCTC